ATTTTGAAATTTTTGGAACTTCGTTTCAACCGGATGTTTAGGAATGTTCGTAAAAAAGGTTCAAGGTCTTTCCAGATGTGCTGAGGTCCAGGTCGAATTGAAAGAACTTAAAAAAAAACATTATTGGATTTTCTAGAAGTAAAGATAAGGGGACTTTGTAGATGTTCAAGCAATATTAGAGCATTTTTTCACCCCTATGCATTTTTTGTGACTGCTGAATATTTGTCAAAATAATCAAAAGAAATTTAATTTTTCTTAGCTTAAAATTCTCTAATTGGAAAATAATAATAGTCCTGGATTTTTATTTACACAAATTAGATAACACCTTTTAAAAAATTCTCGGATTTCAAATGAACACCTCACTAAACCCAGGACTCATATAATTTTTGCAGCCTCGAATCCAAGGAAAAATACTTAAAATTTTATTTCTATTCTAATCCAATACAACACCAATAAAGCCAGTTCTTGAAAGCATTCTGGATAATGGTTGAAAATCCTCCATTATTTTTCTGGTATATTTGATATATGTTTCACATCGAAGATGCGTCACACGTACCAAAACGGCCAGACCTACTGTGTCGCATTTAAGGGGCAAGATGATTCAGAAACATCGGGCCTGTTTAATTCAAAGATTTAAACACGATGCTTAAGAATCCAATAAACGGATAAAACGTGGACATCTCGTACCATACTTTGCGTTTTTGGTAATTATATGATTGGTTGATCGTTAGAAGCATCTAGCCTAGAGAAGTTAAGAGATGCTCCATTTTCCTCTGACGATTGAGACGTAAGCACTAAATCGTGTCCGAGCCTTTAATGACTTTTGGTTATAGCGTCATTAATCGCTTTCTGAAAAGAGAAGATGGAAATGAGAAGGACAAAGGGAAATAGAATATAGGGGAAATGACTCTAATGTTGTGCCTATGGATCTAAAGATTGGGCCAATTGATAAAAATCTCCTGTTCTTCAATTTGTCTTAGAACAATGTATCATCGGGATATTTTTGGTTGCAATGAAATATTGGCAAAAAATGCATTCCTACAAAATGTATTTATGGGCCCAATATTAGCGACACTTAAACTTAAAAAGATCATAATAAAGCTTAAACAAGCTTGCACGGAAAGATCAAAGGATGTTACGGGGGAAATTCAAAGAAAAGTTATAATGAAATTCCAGGAGTAGTCGTGAGACTCTTGCAAAGGAATACACTTTCAGAATAAACTTTCAGGATAAGTTGGAAAATTCATCTGAAGGAAGTTAAATAAGCATCTGGGAGGAAGTCAAGAGTCTTTTAAGAGAATCAGAGTAAACATCCGGAGGTAGTTAGAAGACAGTCTTGAAGGAATACAATACGGATGAAATAGGGGATATAAATTTAAAACAAAGTCTGGGGAATCGAATGACACTTCCTGGAGTAGTTGGGTGATACTTCTTGAACAAGTGGAAAGTAAAATCTTCCAGAAAAATTAGCGGTAGCTTCTGGGTGGAATTTTAAAACATCGGCTCTGGTAGGGTGGGATTGAATCATTTTTTTTCTTTGATTCGTTTTCCGTACTGAGTACCAATGCTACCGACGTCAGGGAGGCAGACCCCACCCCTGGACCCTACCTATCGACCCATCAACTCATAGACTGGGGACCAAAAGCTTTACTTCCTTTTCGAAGGAAGGCGTAAATATCAATCAATCTAGTGAATATTTGAAATCACTCAGAGGTTATAAACTGCAACTGGATAGTCTGAGCATCTCTATCCAATAAATCATATCTACTGTTCAGAATTATAACCAATGGTAGCACACGCTATTTACGAAATGGCACATTAATAAATTTTCATGTATTTTGGAGTTTTCTTTATCAAAAGTTAGTGTTGAATGCATGCGTCCCAGAATCAATTGGTTTTAAAATATTCGATCGAGGGAAATTTGAATTATTAAATTTCATCATAACTTTCCATATAAATACTAGGCAACTGGAAAACGGTTTTCGTAACATAGAACATATCAAATGATCCATAAATCTAGGAAAAAATATACTCTGCTGCTCTTTTCCTTTGTTTTATCAGAGGAGCGGAGTGACGGGCATCGTTAAGGATAAGCTTCTAAAATAATATTTTCAAGAAAACACTTTTAAAGGAAGCGTCTTAAGAAGATTCTAACAGCAGCTTCTAATATAAGCTTCTTAAAAACATTCTAAAAGAAGTTCCTCAAGAAGATTCTAAAATAAGTTTTTTTTAAGATTCTAAGAGCAGCTTCTTTTGGAGGCTTATTCTAAAGACTTGCCCGTCACTCCGCTCCACTGACAAAAAAAAAAAAAAAAAAAAACACGGGCATGTCAGTTATTCTGAGCAGCTGCGCAGTAAAGGAGCATTCTTTCAACATTAATGTAGTATTTCACCGTTTTAATATTGTGTTCCCATACCTGCCGTTATGGAACAGCTCTCAAGAGCCAAAACATCTCAATGTAAAAATGCACCAGCAATTTTCTCCGATAGAACATTTGAAAACCATTCGATTTAGGAATGTAAGTACACTGATAGGCAAAATAAAGTGCCCACCCCATCATTTTTGAAATTTCTCTCATTTATTTGGTTCAAATTCAAATAAACACACCGTAGTCTGTTTCGATGTCTTACCTTTATTATTCTTTTAAAGTTACACCTATGGAATACTGAAAATATAAAGTTTTACTTGAAGTAAAAGAAAATCAATTTGGATTGAAAAAGAAAACAGTGACAAAAAAAAGTGCCCACTTCAAAAATCGGTATGTTTTCGATAAGTTTCCATCGGAAAACCCCTCGATTGTTTTTGTTTTGAAAGTTTGACATGTATTGAAGCAAACGGGTGGAACTGGTGCATTTGTACACGTGATCGCATTTGAATCAGTTGAAAAAAATGGAGGACGTAGTGATTTCGAAAGCAATTCCCGTGTGTATCCGAAAATTGGTTGTTCGTGATGTGCAAAACGGTGAATCGCACCGGTCTGTCGCTAGGAAGTACAATATCAGCAAAACAGCGGTCGGGAAAATTCTGCAGAAAATGAAATCGTTCGGATCAGTGGTGGATCGCCCTGGCAGAGGCAGGATGCGCAAAACGGATGCGAGAACGGACACCAAGATCATGCGTGAAGTGAAGAAGAACCCGAAGGTAACTGTCCGCGAGATCCAGGAGGCTCTTCAGCTAACAGTTTCCAGTCGAACTGTTCGTCGCCGTCTCGTAGCACAGGGGTTGAACAGCAAAGTTGCTCGGAAGCGCCCATTTATCAGCAAGGCAAACAAAGTCAAACGGCTTAAGTTTGCTAAGGAGCATGCTGATAAGCCCCTAGAGTTCTGGAAAACGGTTCTCTGGACGGACGAATCAAAATTCGAACTGTTCAACCGGAAGCGACGGGTTCGTGTGTGGTGTAGATCGGGTGAGGAGCTTCAGGAGCGCCACATACAAGGCACGGTGAAGCATGGAGGAGGAAATGTGATGGTCTGGGGGTGCTTTTCGTGGGGTGGAGTGGGAAGCCTGGTGAAAATCGACGGGATAATGACGGCAGATTCCTACATCGACATCCTGCGGGAAAATCTGGAAGTTTCGCTGATCCAGACGGGCCTTGAGGAGAAATTCGTATTCCAGCAGGACAACGATCCGAAGCATACTGCCAAGAAGACTAAGTCTTTCTTCCGGTCATGTCGAATTAAACCACTGGAATGGCCTCCACAAAGCCCGGACCTCAACCCCATCGAGAATTTGTGGGCGATTCTCGATGCCAGGGTTGACAAAACTGGTGTTACCAATAAAAATAACTATTTTGAAGCCCTGGAGCGCGCCTGGGAAGAACTAGATCCACAGCACCTGAAGAATCTAGTGGAGAGCATGCCGAAGCGCCTGCAGCTGGTCCTGAAGGCCAAAGGAGGACACATTAACTATTAGGCTGTTCTAAAGACTTGCCCGTCACTCCGCTCCACTGACAAAAAAAAAAAAAAAAAAAAAAAAAACACGGGCATGTCAGTTATTCTGAGCAGCTGCGCAGTAAAGGAGCATTCTTTCAACATTAATGTAGTATTTCACCGTTTTAATATTGTGTTCCCATACCTGCCGTTATGGAACAGCTCTCAAGAGCCAAAACATCTCAATGTAAAAATGCACCATCCATTTTCTCCGATAGAACATTTGAAAACCATTCGATTTACGAATGTAAGTACACAAATAAATTTTTGGTGAAGAAAATCCCGAGATACATGAAAGTTGATCAATCCGCTAGTATGTACCATTCGTCTGTCACAAAACGTTGCAACTACTTGATTGAGACTGAAATTAGTCACACACAAGTTATCTCCAGCGTTCTGCTGCTACAGCCCATGTAGATTTTGTACTGTTTTACCACATGAACAGATTCTGGTCGTCGGAACTTTTTTTTTAAATGATTTCCTGATTTTATGTAAGTTTATTTTTTAACAAAGCTTTTTCCTCAAATGTACTTCGACTAAAAAATCATCTCATGAAAGTTTTGTACGAAAATATTAATTTTAGAATAACTGTCTTGTACGCTACAGTCCAGTAAGAACTGACATTACATTTGATGAAAGAAAACATACAGAGGATGAAAGAAATCGACCCTTACATTTGATATTCATGCCATTTGTTCTACGGGTAGTGCAACATAACTGCTTTCGTCGTTCAAATCATTGTCATTTTTAATGTTTCACTTACTACTTTTGATGTTGTAAATACATGGGTATACAATGCACGTAGAATGGCCACATACTCGTTGTCTTAATTTCACAACGTAGCAGTCAGATAGCGATCAAAAGCAATAAGCATTCCCCAGCTCGTCATCTCAATGTATTTATCATCTTTTTTTTACTCCGTGAAAAATGAAATTACTTTCAACGAGAAAATTATTCATATACTTCAGTCGAAAGATGTTATGCGAAGACAACCGAAGAAAGCCCACATCTCACACCAATCGGTTTCATAATCATAACAACCGCAATTATCCATTTTCTCATTCCCCCAGCTACGAGCTCAGCGACGGTCAGATCCGATCCGAGGTGGGAACCTACAAGGATTCGAAGGACGCTGATGGCAATGACGTCAAGGTGCTGTTCGTGCAGGGTTCGTACTCATTTGTCGGTAACGATGGCCAGACCTACTGGGTGAACTACACCGCCGACGAGAATGGATACCACCCGAAGGTTGGAACTGGTCCAACTGGAGGAATTCAGGCGGGACAGGATGCTCCAATCAGCAGTGCATAAGACCGATGATGGATGAGACGACTGCCACCACCCGTTTTAGATGATTCTAAGTCATACTCCGCTGAGCCACAATTGAGATAAAAATCGAGAATTAAATGATAAAAAAAAAAACTAGCCACTATCCTATAGGATGTAATGTAAATATAATACTGTATACGTGAAACGCGTGTGTTCTCTCGTAGTAATAAAAAGTCGATTGATGAGAATGGAGATTACAAACTGAATTGGTAGTTTTGCACTTTAATCAACGAGGAAAGAATTTGCCCATGCTAAGTCTTTTGTGTTATTATTTTGTTAAGGTAAGTTTCATCGAGATGCTTTCAAAGAGAACTTCCTTATGACTCACTTTGACCCTCATGGTTGATTGGTTGGTTTTCTTTATTAAGGAGATTTTCAGTCAGACGCTGGTTCATCTCCGGGTTGACCCTCATAATCCCTTGGAATATTTGAGAAGCTGGAGTTGGTTTCTGGTCTTGTACTGTATATTGCATACGTGTTATGTCCAGAATTCTCTCTCCCAAGAAGACTCCCTTAGGACCAGGCATGACAAATCATTTGCATTCATTTCGTGCATTTATTTACATCCATTTACATCTAACTTTTTCCATCAACAGAATTCCATTAAATGATGTTTGAAGCTTTTGTAGGTTTAATATCAGCTGCAACTTTTGTTAACAACTAAAATCTGTACCTCTTAGTACAGTCATTAACTAAATAGACAGTTATTTTTCGAGATTCTAGAGAATATTTTTATTATATTACTAAAATGAAAGTATCATAGCTTCAGTTTTGAAGTCTCAGGATCTTCAAATGATTTTAAATTTCTGAAATTATATTTTTCCTGGGTCCCAGATCATGAAATTTTTGGTTAGTCTTAATTTACTTGGAACTCTTCACAGGATATTTTTTTTTCCTTCGGTTTGTTTTTTTCCGTCGATCTTGTTTTCCGTGCTGAGCACCAATGCTACCGACGTGCCAGGAAGGCAGCTCCCACACCTGGACCCTACCTATCGACCCATCAACTCATGAACCGGGGACCAACGGCTTTACTTCCCATCCGAAGGAAGGCGTGATCAGAGATGTTATGCCTCAGAACATCCCGGCGGCGCCGACTGGGATTGAACCCAGGCCTGCTGGGGTGAGAGGTAATCACGCTTACCACTACACCACCGGCGCCATTTCTTCACAGGATATGTTCGCCCTAGAATTCCATGATACTTCTTTTCTATATTGCCCTAAAATAATCTTGATAATATCCAAACTTTTCCAGCATTACCGATTGGAATCTCTTATAAATCACTCTCCAATTCCACAATTCCCTCAAACTGGTAATAATTCCCAAAAATTGGCACAATTTTGTGTCCATTTTTCTCTATGATTTTTTTTTATATTCTTAATAATTTCCTTGGTACACTCTTCAGAATGACCGTCACGCTCTTCTCAGACTAATCCGATAATTCCTTTTGAACTGCTAGGTAACGTGAGAATTGTTTTGAAATCCTCTTCAATATTACCTAATTACTCAAGCACTTTGCCAAAATGGTTTTGAAAGTTTCCCAGAAATTCCGCATAATTCCGTTTAAATGTCTTAAATTTTTATTAAAATGAATCTCCATAGAAACATTGGACAGAATTCCATTGAAATTATTCTCAAGATTCGTATCAGCATACTCCTTAAGTTTCATCATAAGAATTTTCTATGATTTCTCTTCCGGATTGTATTTCATTTATTCACAAAATCTCCATGCAACTGTCATCAGAGTTGACAAGACAATTGATACCGTCTTCAACCAGAGGTTGCATCGACTGAATATTAAACACTAGACAACGGACAACACACCACACCCAGCAGACTAGTAGGGAAATTTTCAGGTAGTTAAAATTATCACCGGCAGGAGCGCGAATCGAACCCTCACTTAGTGTCACTGACGGCGCCAGTGGTATTTTTTTTCCTTGTCGGGTATTTTCATCACTGCGACCATTTTTCTGATCTATTGTGATATATTCCCCATTTTTTTTCTTTAGCTATATCAAGATGCCGTATCACTATTATTAGGAGTGATCGCCATCGTTTGACTAATTGCATTATCCCAGCACGGCATTATACTTCGAATAAAGTGCACTGCCGTACTGGGAGTTGTTCTCCAAATGTCAAAGGTTTCTATCAGCCCCTTGTCGAAGAACTTACGCCTTTTATTGAAAATTGCCGGACAGTGGCATAGCAAATGTTCCGAGTCTTCCTTTTCTATGCCACAGAAGCGACATACATCATCTTGAAGTTTTCCAATCAGCTTCAAGTGATAACGGCTCGGACAATGACCTGTTATAAGACCTGCATATATACTAAGATCTTTCTTAGAAAGTTCCAGGATTTTGTGGGTCACAGAAATGTTTGGATTAATAAATCGCTTCGACTGCCTAGCAATGGAAGTGTTCTTCCAGTTTTCCTCCACTTTTGAAGATTCCCACGCTTTTAGCTCCATTCTAAGAGATGCAGCCGATAAGCCACAAAAGAGCTCTGGCCCGATGAACGAGTCTTGCTAGTGCATCAGCTCTTTCATTTCCCTCAATCCCGCAATGACCAGGAACCCAATATAAGTTGACTTGATTATGACAAGACAATTTTTGAAGTGATTGAACACACTCCCAGACAAGTTTTGATGTAGGGTAAATGTTGGCTTCGGCACCCATTGACTGTTTTCGGCAACCAAAATTTAAACGTTAATTTCACTATGTTTTCCCATCAACACACTTCCCTGAATGTATTCAAACGATTCTTTAGTCTTTCAGCTTCAATCTGATTATATTTGTATGACCGAGCAATCCTGTAATGCCAGATTTTTCTTCAAATGAAGCATACGCACTTCAAAATGGGGTTGATTTCTAGTTGCCGATAATAGAACAGCTGGTTAACACGCAGTTCTAATGGGAAGGTTGCCGAAGAAAAAGAGTCTGCCGACAATAGTCACACTCACCTGAGAAGTTTGGAGCGTTGTAAAAACGCTTTAAAACCGTTTTGAAAAATTCTATCGATTAGAATGGATAGAGAAGCAAGCAGCAGATGAATGTAAACAAACAGACACGTCATATATGTGCGTGACGCTGAGAAAATGCTAATAGAAGTGCGGACGCTGCTGACGACGAGAATACGTAAATTCCCCTACATGTCGCCGACTTTAAAGCATTTAGAGCAGCTTGACTGTCAGACATGACGCATATATTTGAACTCTTATAGTTTCTACGCAAACATATAACGGAACACTCTAAAATTGCTTGGATTTCAGCTTGGAACACAGTTGGCCATCTGCCCATAGGAACCGATATTTCTATCCCTGGGCCAGTTACTCCTGCTCCCACTTGATTGTTCAATCTTGAACCATCTGTATAAAAAACAATCGATCCTGGACGAAGAACCGGGCCACCAAATTGCCATGAATTACGCCCAGGGTCAACTACTCGAAAAAGTCGATTGAAGTTGTATCTTTTCTCCATCCAGTCTTCGTTGTTCCTTACTAGAGAGTTGATACTAACAGTTTTTAGAATCGTAAGATGTCCTCTAAGGTCTCCTTCAAAGAGTTTCACTGACCTTGTAATCCTTAGAGCACACTTTTCGGCTTCTAATTGTACAAATTGATGCAATGGTAGCATATAAAGCAAAGCATCCAATGCCTTCGATGGTGTACTTCTCATTGCACCTGTTATTGAGAGAGTTGCTAACCTTTGGAGTTTTTCTAACTTTCTCTGAGCAACACTCTCTTTTGTTTTTGGCCACCAGACCAATGCACCATAAGTAATCCTGGGTTTCACAATTGCCGAGTAAATCCAATGGATCATTTTCGGTTTCAGTCCCCACTGTTTACCAAATGTTCTTTTGCATATCCGTAGAGCATTAGTAGCTTTGTTTATTGCCTGCTCTAGGTGCATATTCCAATTAAGTTAACTATCGAGGATTACTCCAAGATATTTGACAGCATTAGAAAGTTCCAAAAGTGTGCCTTACAATCTTATGTTGTCTAATGAAAATTTCTTCCTTCGGGTAAATGGCACGATAGTAGTTTTAAGAAGGATTTATGTTTAATCCTTCCCTATCACAACACGATGGGACAAAATTTAAAGCCATTTGCATTTTGTTAGCGATAATACAATCATTTTTGCCACGTACAATTATGACTATATCAACTGCGAAGCCAATTATTTCGAAGCCATGAGCTATTAAATTTTTGAGAAGATCATCAACTATTAAAGACCATAATAGAGGTGATAACACGCCTCCTTGTGGGCATCCTTTGGTTGCTCTTACATTGATGAGTGAGCTTCCAAGGTTTGCTGATATTTCTCTTTTTGATAACATTTCATTGATCCAATTTACAATGCTTTGATCGAAACCACGTTTCATCATAGCTGTAGTAATTGAATCGTGAGATGAATTATCGAATGCACCTTCAATGTCAAGGAATGCAGCAAGTGAAATTTCTTTTGCTTCAAAAGATCTTTCTAGTTTTGTAACAACCGTATGAAGTGCTGTTATTGATGACTTACCTTCCTGGTATGCAAATTGATATTTGCTCAGAGGATTTGTGACTAAATATGATGACTTTATGTGTTCATCTATTATTTTTTCCATTATTTTTAGCAAAATAGACGATAAGCTTATTGGCCTGAAGGATTTTGGTGAAGTTTCATCCTTTTTATTAGCCTTGGGAATAAAAATAACCCGCACTTGTCGCCACACTGCCGGTATATAGCTTAATATTAAGCTTGCTCGAAATATCTTTGTTAGAATAGGCATTACAACCGCTTTTCCCTTCTGTAGTAGTACAGGAAAAAATCCATCCCTATCTGGTGACTTGAAAGGTTCAAAGGAGTCAATCGCCCATTCAACTTTTCTTTCAGTAAAGATTTTGTTGGCCAAAGTGCAAGCATCAGCTCTTGTTCTGTCTAACTCAGTCGTTTCATTCAATATTTCATGAATATCCGTCCTGGTTTCATCGATACCAATTGCTGTTGTCGTCACGTTTTGGTCTTCGTTTGAATTAATAATAGAACATGGAAAATGCGTTCTCATCATCAACTCTAACGTTTCATTTGTAGAAGTAGTAAAAGAGCCATCCTCTTTTTTCAAAGTGCCCAGACCATTGGAATGATCTTTAGCGAGTATTTTCTGCAACCTAGCAGTTGCTGGAGTATTTTCAATGTTCTCACATGTATGCCTCCAGTGTATCCT